TAAATACATCGATACCTCCCCTGTAGAATGATGATGAGTATATTCGGTTTGCTGCAGAAACAGGTCCACCACCTGATTCTTACAAATTTGCACTTTGAAAGCAATTCCTGATCACTGCTATGCTCATTAACACATTCTCTATCCAGTAAAATGATCAGATACTGGAGCTTTTGTGTTTCCTGACTTTTGTTGCTTCTTTTAGCAAGATGAAATCGTTCAAAGGGACAGAAAACCCTCCGCTGTGCAAGATAATGATAAATGTGTTACTTCCTTTTGTCCCACACTAAAACAATATAATACTACATCTGCTTTTCCTCTTGCATAATCACAAGAATTGTAATTTACATACATGCCCATCCTATTGTCTGTCATCTTAGCAATACAAATAACCTGAAGATGATATTGCTCAAAACAACATTAGAGCTCCATGTTTTAGTCTTAAAATGTAAAAAAAGAATCATGATGTCAGCTCTCGTTAAGAGTGAAAATCTTTTGTTTTTGGCACCACTCACTGCTTTTTATCCTCACTCTAACGGCTCTGAGCTGCAAGGATTGAATCCTTTCTAACCAACACAAGCAGTGACAAATCAGATCAGGGACATTTCCAGGTGGAGGCGCAGGATTGCACTGGCTACCACTAAATATTATTGGGCCTCGCTGGTGCCACAGTCAATAATTAGATCCAGTATATGATTCTGAAATGTGCCACTCTAAGAAATGAGTGACTTTAGGTACTTTAAAAGCATTTTGATTGTAGAACTTGATTGTAGAACACTATTAAGCTACTTATGTAGAAATATAACATTTATTTTTGTAAAAAGTTGATACTTTTTGCTTTAAAGTATTCATTGAGTACTATAAAGTACTCATTTTCCACAGTGATTTTATTTGTGAGTAAATATTCAGATCTCAAAGACGCCAAGAAAACAATTCCAAACCCGTTATGAGCTGATATTTATTACTTTCCCTTCATTAACTGCTTTATTATTCATTCAGTTATAGATTAAGAGTTACAGCACAGAGGAGCCATTAATATTTGATTAATTTCAAAGATTTCAGAAAGGATGCACATTTTAATGCATGCTAAAAACTGCTGCAATGGAAATATCTGCAAATTAGATTAAATATTCTGCATGTGGCCAGTTTATCAACAAGACAGAGAAACTGCACCACTAAATCTTTATTTTTATTACATCCTTCTCCGTGTGCAAATTTAAGAAACAGGGTTACACAGATAAACAGAAAAGAGAGGCAGACGTGAATGACACAAGCGTGAAGGAGAAAGCGGGTTTCTTCTCGTCTTCAGGTGGACGCTCGGCTAATCGTCTCCTCCACAGATGGCCTTCACACACTCACACTGGTCGCCCGACAGATCTGACTGGAGGACACATCAACACAAGCAAAGAGTCAAGCATCCAAAAGCACATCCCACGTTCGGTCTGAACCACTGCAGG